CCAGACAGTTGATTTCTGTTGATTTGTGATAGCGTTGATTGCAGAGTCCTTTCACAGTAGTTCTCTTTTCTCTGCTTTTGCCTCGGTTTTCCTTTGAGTAAAACTTCATTTTCTTTCTTGGTATATTTTAGTCTTGGTCAATAATATAATCTCTGTTGTTGTGCTGTAATTACTAAAATTAAAAACTGAGCCCCACTCCTTGCCCAGCAAATAAATGTTGGGAAATTTAATTGGATAAAGGGGGTATATAGCATTGCCATGAGACTGGGCCATGTTTGATGATGGAGATCCTCAGGACACACCCAAGTCTAGTCACCCTATCCTATCAATGATGTCTGGAGCATAGAGCCTTTAATCCCCATTCTCTGTGCAACAGATCTCTCTGTCTCACCCACTGCTTCTCTTAGCAGTGTGTTTCAATATATCTGCCTTTTCTTTTCTCCACTTTGTCTCTGGTGAATTCTTTTACCCGTGTGCCTCCGGCCTTACTCTGATATTTCTCCCATAACATTGCTACAGTATCCAAAGTTATATCTAGAACATGATTATTATTCTATGTATTCTAAAGTTTTGTTCTAATATATTTAACTCTAGGTCATTCTTAATCTAGATGGATGTTAGCCATTATAATTATATCAGCATTAAAATTAGAGGTAATAGGAAAATGCTTGTCTAAGGATTACTTGGTCTTTTAGCCTCCTTAAAGTGTCTCATTTGAAGTAAAAAATAAGTCTCTAATCAGTTATTAATAATCTTATAATTTATGAATGTTTTTATATATAGTTCTTTATAGGTATTATCTCTAATGCTTACAATATTAAGAGACAAATTATTGACTCCATTTTAGATATGAGAAAACAGGCCATGCAGAATGAAATTGTGCTCAGATAAAAAATACGAACAGGTTAATAAACCTGATTTTGAAGATTTTGAGACAGATTCACTTAAAAAGTCCAGTTAAAAACACAGATGTGGCCTAGACTTACCTGTTCCGGGTAAATTTGTAAGTGTTGACTCTTGAGTCAGATTGTTTGGCTTCATATTTCAAATAAATTAATAGGTGTCAATTTCATTACCTTAGGGTAACATAAAGATCCTGCAAGAAGGATTAGAAATGGTGGAAGGTAACTGTTTACTATAATTTTGTTGAAACTGTTTTTCAAGCATCCTTGGAAATGGCTCTAGGAGGATGTAGGATGATATAATAACCAGGGAAAATGGCGGGGAGGGGGGAGAGAAGAGGACAGAGGGAGGGTAAGATTAAGGATTTTACTTCCTCTGCCAATATAACTTACCTACCTAACTTATTTTAAGGAAGAGCAAGCAATAACTATATTATATGGATATTTTTAAAAAATCCTCAAAACAGATATTCAAATTCAATTAAAGAAACAATGATCATGTTACGTGCCAAGAAAATCAATATGAATAAAATATGATCCCTGCCCTTAACAGACTCACAGTCTATCTTAAGGTCTACAATGAAGGGAGGTCAGGAAAACACTATGTGCAATGATTAATTTTGTGGGCTGGGAAGACTAATGATGTTTTTACAGATATTAGCTGATCTGTATAGCAAATTGTGGACAAAAACTTTACATTAGGGTTTGATATAAAAAGGAAATTACCCCTACTTGCCTATTTTTTTAAAGATTTATTTACTTACGCTTACAGAACTGGGGTACAGGGCAGAGGTGTGGTGGGTGACAGATTCACCAGAAACACAGTGGGAAGCAGAATAGGCAGATGTATTGAAATACACTGCTGAGGGGAGCAGCAGCAGGGTGGGGTTGGGGGAGGCCAGGAGAGTTTTGCCATGCCATGTGGGTCAGCTCTCTGGCAGGGGGTTGAACTTGTTCTGCAGAAGCTTCAGAGAGCTTCATAATGCGGTGCTTTAACTCACTGCGCCACCAGGGACAGTCCCCTTCTCACCCATTTTTAGTCTTCCAAACGAAGAGAATCATAGAGATAAAAATTACACTGCAATCGGGTAGTTAACTATTTCTATGGCTTTGAATTATTTCATGTTCACTGCCTCTGGGATGCAGTGGGATGGGGGTGGGAAGTATCTTTATCAAGAGTTGGTCTAGCATTATTCAAAGAAATAGAACAATTATTAATGAAATTCATATGGAGTCACAAAAAACCTTGAATAGCCAAAGCTCTCCTGACTAAAATGAAGAATGGTGTTATCATACTCCCAGAATTCAAACTATATTGCAAAGTCATAATAATTAAAACAGCATGATACTGGAACAAAAAATAGACACACATACCAATGAAACGAAATAGAAAGTCCAGAAATAAAGCCACACATATATGGACAATTAATCTTTGACAAAAGAGCAAACAATTTTCAACTGAGCAAAGACAGTTGTTCAATAAATGGTGCTGGGAAAATTGGATCACCATAAGCAAAAGCATGAAACTGGACCACTACTTCACACCATGCATAAAAATCAACTCAAAATGGATAAAAGAACTGAACATAAGACCTGAAACCATAACATATATAGAAGAAAATACAGGTAAAACAGTATAAGACATAAACATCTTTAAAGACTCATCCAACAAAGAAAAGAAAGTGAAGGGAAAAATAAACAGCTGGGATTACATCAAACTAAAAGCGTCTGTACAGAAAGAGACATTAACCAAAACAAAGACACATACTACTGACTGGGAGAAAAGTTTTGCACTCCATATAACCGATAAGGGATTGATCATAAAGATCTCACAGGACTCAACAAAACCAAAGTAAATAATCAAGTCAATGAATGGGCAGAAGAACTTAAAAGCACTTCTCTAAAGAGGAAATAAATGCAAATGACCAACATCATATGAAAAATTGTTCAACATCCCTCAAAACAGGGAAATGTGGCCCTCTCTGGTGTTGCAGCGGGTTAAAGCACTGCACTAAGAAGCTTAAGCCACTTCCGCATGAGTTCGATTCCCGCCTGCCCCGGAGGAGATCCACATGGTGCGGCAGACCTCTCTTGGCCGGCCTGCCCACTGTTCTCCTCAGCAGTGTATTTTGATCATCTGCCTGTTCTGCTCCCCACTCTGTCGCTGGTGAATCCTCTCACCCTCCGCATCTCTGGCCTGTACCCCAGTTCTGTATGCATAAATAAAACAGGGAACAAAACAGGGAAATGCAAATTAAAACCACAATGAGGTACCACCTCCACCTTACACCAATAAAGAATGACACATTAAAAAAAACTAGCAACAGGGCCCTCCCTGGTGGCGCAGCGGGCTAAAGCACAGCACTGAGAAACTAAAGCTACTTCCGCATGAGTTCGATTCCCGCCTGCCCCGGAGGAGACCACATGGTGTGGCAGACCTCTCCTGACCCTCCCACTGCTCCCCTCAGCAGTGTACATTGTTAATCTGCCTGTTCTGCTCCCCATTGTCTCCGGTGAATCCCCTAAACCTCTGGCCTGTACCTCTGCATAAGTAAATAAATCTTAAAAAAACAAAAACAAAAACAAAAAACACTAGCAACAACAAATGTTGACCAGGATATGGTCAACTATACTGCTATACTATACTGCTGGTGGGAATGTAAAATGGTCCAACTACTATGGAAAGCTGTATGGAATTTCCTCGGACTACTAAAAATGGAACTAACTACCTTATGACCCAGCAACCCAGCAATTCCACTCCTAGGGATCTACTCAAAGGACACAAAAACATTAATTCAAAAGGATACCTGCACCCCTCCATTTATTGAAGTATTATTTGTAAGTAAGATATGGAAGCAACCCAAATGCCCCAAAACAGACAACTGGATCAAGAAGATGTGGTACATATATATACAATGAAGTATATTCAGCAATAAAAAAGATAAACTAAATGCCATTTTCAGCAACATAGATGGAGCTTAAAGGGATTATACTCAGTGAAATAAGCCAGAAGGAAAAAGAATAATATCGATGATTTCACTTATAGGAAGGATAGAGGGGAACCATACAAGGAAACAGGGGAAAAAAATAGTAACAATGATTAAAAACACAACAAAACAAAAATAAACAGACAACTATAAATCAGAGACATTCTGCCAGGAATGGGGAGGGAAAGGGATCAAAATGAAGGCAGAAAGAGCACAAAGACCTATGGAAGTGGTGCACAGGTGAACTGGTGGAGGAAATTTTATGGGGATTTCACAAAAAAAAAAGCAAACATTGTAATAAAAAATGGTGAACAATAATGTAAAATATATATAAATTGCATGAATCCCTCCTTTTCTTATTCACCTTAAAATTGTACAAATTAGTTTAATGAGATGAATATACATAACAGAAAGGCTGTGTGGTCTAAATATCAAAGTTTATTGAAATAAAATATAATCTATAATAAAAAATACTAAGGGTGTTATCACTGGTTACAGTTTTAAGTATATTTACAAAATTCCAACATTTAAATCCAAGAATGACACTATCCTTGTAATACAATAATAAACATAAAATTAAATGTTGAATAATACTGAATAATTCTGTCAGAAATAGTTTATACTTCCTGTCTATGTTAAATATGCCTTTTAAGGATTATGCTACAAAAGTAAAACTTTTGAAACATAAGACAGGTTTTAGAATTAAATAGTGTGAGCATAATTAGCATTTGAAACAGTAACTTTCATAGAAATGCAGTTCAATACTAAATTGGGAAAATGTTTTTAGGTGTCTTTATTAAAAAAAACCTATCTCAATGTTCTTTTTTATTAATTTCTAGGGCTGCTATAATTCTTAAGCTGGAATTAAAGTTAATTAAAAAGCCTAACAGATTATTACAGAAGTAGAAAGGACATTACAACAGTAAAGGACAGGAGAAAAAAACAGGCACTCTCATATGTGTCATATACTTAAAGTCTTTGAGAATTCTGTTAATTGGCCAATCTTTGTATAGCACAAAGAAGTCTATGATGTCATAGCAACTTCTTGACCCAAACTGTCCTAACGTGGAGAAAGAAAGCGTCTTTCTTCTTACTATATTTCAAGGTCACCCTCTGTAGTCATTACACCATTTTACCTGCTACTCCCCCAAAACACAAGCCTCAATAAATGCGATTATTCTGCACTATTCAAGGAATAAGATTCACTTGCACTAACTTTAGGAAATGACTTTCAGGGTACCTCTGAAGTTTCTTAAGTGAAGATTATTCCACTTGCTGACTGTTGTGTAGCAGTCATACATCAGTCTTCTACTCATACTGTGACTGATGGATCTGTGAAAACAATAGTTGTCATTTTATTGAAGAAGGTAAGCTTTTGATAACCACAGGAAGCTTTTCAACCCTTAGCTTAAAATCTGTGTAACTAATATATCCTGTGCACTCTGGGGAAAAAGTGCATCTTACAACTAAATTGTAAAAAAGAACTCACAAAACTGAGAGACATGGAGTTGATCTTTAACGATTAAATGCCTATCTTATTTTTATACTCATTCATTAGTTAGAGCTGCTCCATATCATAACATATTTGTTATATGCCCTTCTTAACAGTCACTGAGTAAGGAGTTTAAATGAGCATTTCAATTTCCTGACTTTCTATTTAAGGCTGTAACTACTAGACCAAAGAATCCAGGATCACTTTCAGAAGAATTTTTCTTTGTGCACTCTAATCTAGGAGACATTTCTGTTTCTCAAAGCAGAGTGTTACAGTAAAAAATTGTATGTAGTTTGTAAAGTTGTGACAAATTAAGTGATTTGAAGAAATTCTCAGAATATAAAAAAAAGTAGAGACTTGTAGAATAATAACACTTTTTGTTCTTTAAGTCTACGTGGCTTAAAGCTTAGGTTTTGTATTTCTGCCATATTTTTCTACACTTTAAGTGGGATATCACCATGCCCTGAAAAATATCAGTAACAGACAAATTTAAGCCACCTTCTTTCTCAGGGCAATAGGACAAAGCTAAACTTGAGGCAACAGTTGAAAACTTTACCCTGTTTGAGTTCAACTTTTTGAGATCAGAAAAGTGAAATTAGAAACTAGAATTTATCATGTAAAAATTTATTTGCATATCACAATTTACTAAACTCCAATTTCTAATGGTAGAAAGCTGTAATTAAGTAAGACACATGAATTATAATTTTGATAGACTTTCAAAATAAGCTAAACTTGCTAGGGAAAAAATAAGCTAAACTTAGCAGGGTCCTGCAATTTACTTGTTCCTCAGACTCCATTATCTCTAGTTGCAATTTATATTGTTCAGGAAGTCTTAGAGATCAAATTTAATTTGCTTTAAATTATTACTTGAGAAGAGTAACCTCAACTCTCCATAAAATTTCCTATCTCTTTAGAATTATTGGACATCAATATAAAAAGAGACTAAATTCTGGGTTTCTTTCAATTTTGTAATTTTTTAAAAGGAAGATAACTGTACATTGTCAAATAACCTTTTCCACTTAAAGTAGACCTTAAATAGCTCTAAAACTGACAGTACTTGAGAGATCTGAATGAATTCCATCAATGCAAAACAACATTATATGTATGTATTACAACCTGATTTTACTGCCCTTTGCTCCATGGAGGAAAAGGCAAAGGGAATCTAATAAAGAGAGATTTATGAAAAACAGTGGAAAACATAGATTTTTAAAATGCTTTTTATAGTGCCCAAATTTTTTGATTTTGACTCAACAGTCCATAGGTTACAAAAACAGCTGTGAAATATGCTTAGGGAAGAGATGATGATACAAGATAATTTCACAAATGTTGACAGCATTTAAAAACCTGATGTAAGAAATATGCCATTGGGGGAAAAGTACACATTTGAGAACAAAAAGCTGTGATATTTATGATTATTTAAGCATTACTATGTGTTCATACTATGTCTTTTACTCAGGAGTGCAAAGACTTAAATTAAAAAAAAAAAAAAAGCATCCTTTACAAAAATAGAGTAAGTTGAAGCACAGAATGTTTGCCTACAGCAAAAGTCAGACTTCTGGATGTAAAATGAATTAAAATCTCATATTTCCAGTTCTTTAAAATACAAAAATACAAATTACATACTATGTTTAATGACTCTTATTTTGTCAAACATTAGCAACTTTACAATTGTATTTAAACTATAATTATTTACAATTATAGTTTTAAGTTGTATACCCACATTTGTGTGACAGGTAAAGCGCAAACTTCCATCATATTCTAAAGTATCTGGTACATTACATAGAAAAGTAAAATGTAACAGGTTAACTTTTTTTTTTTTTTAATAAATAAGATTGATGGAGAAAAGTTCTGCAATTCTTGCCTTGGTTTTTCGTTAGGAGTAATTTAAAGATCTGCTTTAAACCAATATTAATATAAGGACCACATGTTATTGATACTTTAAATTTCCATTTTACTTCTAATCCTATTTCCTGTCAACATCTTTTCTATCATAGTTAACTGAACTGGTTATTCACTAAAAACAAAATGTTAACTTTCTGTGCAATTACAAAATGGCTAATGTGCTTAGGCAACTAATCTCTGACACACACTTACTTTATTAAGCTAAGATTAAGAAGTAGGAGGAAGAATTAGAAACATAATATATGGGATAAGTAGTCAAATCCCAGAAATCCGAGACAATAAAACAACATATATTCCAAACTCTAATCCTAAATTAAATCTATGTTTCATTCAATTTACTAACGGTTGGAAGAAATTACTTTACCTAAGCACTTCAGACCAGCATTTTATTAGGAAGTAGTCAAAGTCAATTTTAGCTGCTTCAAACTTCATAGTCTGTATATATGTCTGTGTATTCTCAAAATGGTGATTATTAAATTTGAGAGAAATTTCCCAAATTCCTTTGAGAATCTTATAGATGACATGGGTCCCTGCTTCAGAAACATACAAATAAAAGTGTTGACAACTTATTATAAATCACAGAATTGTTGATTCAATGGGATTAGATATGAAGAGAATGTTCACATTGCTAAATAAGAATGACAAATAAGGGGAGTAAGTTTTAAAAGAACAAGAAAGTATGGTGACCATTTCTATTCATTCATATGCCTCTTTTACTAGTTCTAACAATTGGCTGATGCAAATATGCCCCTAATCTAATTTACAAATATTAAAAACAAAAATCATTAAATTTTAACCTCTGCTATAAGTATATATGTAACAATATATATGTATTATAAAATACTGTGAAGACTTTAATATACCACTATCAAGTTCCAATGTACCCAAACCAGCAAAGAAAATCTGAATATATAATTTGTAAACTGGTAAAATTTAAGAAAATAAGACACAATAACTCTAAATTCTTTATAACCTTCAAGGATGGGAAACCGGTATCTCTGAGAAATTTGTTTTAATAGAATTAAACATTTAATTTTGCCCCACAGTAATCAAAATGAACATTTTATTATTGTTCTTGGTATATGAAACTGAATTCCAGGAATGTAAGAAAGTCTGACTTGGAAATATACAGAACAGACTGAATTAACAAACATATTACATCTTTAATTATTTTCTATAAGTATACATTGATATCTACTTATCTGATAGCAGCACTGCTGGTTTTAAGTTTTTTTTTCTTCCAAAAGGAATGTAGAATGGCAGTATTATCTTTGGAACAAATTAAGAAACAGTAACAAGTAACAGAAGAATAATTTCTACATATAGAATAATTTTCAAGGGCAATAAATAAGTATGTAATTATGGACAATATGCCTCAAATATGATTTCTTAAACTGCTCAACATATATATATATTAATTAAATGTAATGTATGGTCACTATCTGTTTGGGACAAGCAAACCTTAAGATCTGAGTTTCTTCCTATAACCAGTGTTATCAAGAGTAAACTTGGAATAAGGTCAACGTATTTGAGCCAACAGAGAATTCTGTAGTACATCTGATTACAATGTATACATATTCTAGGTTATGAAGAGTTTCACCAAATATTTTGTATCAAGTTTTATACTCCAAACAGGTTGTCTGATGATGTATCATGCTAGCATAGGAAATCTGAAGGGATAACATACTATAAAACAAAAACAAACATGCAACACAGGACATAAAAGACAGAGCTTGACCCTGGATTTTTCCTTTGAGTATTTCCCTCTACAAATAATACAGCTTTTTACATACAGACTCATCCTACAACTGATTTTGGATCAGAAAATGATATTAAAGACAGCTTAAGAAATCTAGACCACTTTTATTTTGTAGTCTATTGTCATCCCAGCCCACAAAAACATTCTCCAAGTGGATGCTCAGGTTAGATTAAGATGATCTTAGACAAACACATTTACTGAGGTTTAGGATGTAAATTACGTATCTACTTGCAGCAGCAATAGTCTCTCCAAAATGAGTAAAACAAATTTTTAAATATAAAACATATAAAAAGGACTATCAAGGATAGTTTTCCAAACTATATCTAGAAATACAGGAAAATATGTGTTGCCTCATAATAAAGTTCAATAAATATTCTTTCTGAATCCTATAAACACTACAAGATGCTATAGGTTTATTTGGTTCTCATAAATTAAAAAATCTGATTGCTTTTACATAAATTTCTCAAAATTCTTCTGTTTCACACAAAATTTTATTAGTACTTTTTCACTAGACTCAGATTATCTCTAACTTCCTTTCAGACTGTGCTTTTTGTTGATTATAACAATATACTTAATTTTCTAGCAAATAAACATGATCTAAAATTTAAAGTTCAAGGAGATTCTAGAAAAAGGTAGACGATGAACTATCTGGTTTCCTACACTCCCATATTTACAAGACCTAGCATCCACTGTGGTTTCCTCCTTACACTCATCACATTGTTAATAGTAACTGTGGTCCAGGTTACCTATGTTAAAGGTTTCAAAATTCTTCAAAATTCCACAATACTACAAAGTCATTAATATCTGGCTTTGATAGGATATTAGTACTAGCATAATGTAATTTTTTGCTATTGGAAAAGAAATACAAATATTTATTTTTTTTCTATCTAAATTACACCCAAGTTCCTTTATCACTTTTCAAGATAATATCTAAAATGTACATTCCTAAAGAAAGGTAAAGCTGTTCAAGGGCTGAACTAGTCCAATATGCAATAAAGGGTTATTTACTCTTGCTACTTTTTGTTTTTAAATTTCTATATTAAACCCCTGGTTTCTTGTGGATTAGATCATAATTTAACATTGTAAAAATTCACTTCAAAAATTATTGTGCTAATATTTAGATTTCAGGAAGGAATCAGACAAAATCAATTATCTCCATTCATTGTTAGAACAGAAGATAAAATAGCTTACTAACTGATATGAGTTATGAATGTCACTATGACACAAAATTTGCTGTGATTCACTTATTTGACTACAAGTGCAGTATTTTTCATGAGACAACACACAGCATTTCCAACTTGTAACATGAAACTCCAGCTCATAAAGAGAGTACTGTGTGACTCGGAAAAAGTCTGATTGTAACTAAGTAACAACCTTTACCCTGAAAAACATTAACAAAATCCATTGGGAAATCAGGCACAGACGGTATTTATCGGTTTTTCTTCCTTTTCTTCCTCCTGTGGTTCTGTTTCTTGAGACATACAGATGATTCCAACAGAATCTAGCACTTCTTACAAAATGACACAACTATTTTTTTCCTTTTCTTTTTCTTTATCTTTTTCTCGAGGTTCTTTTCGTTTACGTTCACTATTTCCAGATTGTCTTCCATTTGATGGAGAGGCTTGTGCTGGCTGACTCTGTTTTATAAAGGATAACAGGAAGAAATCAACTCAATTACTCTTAAGATATTAAGTCAGTTATCTAAAAAACATTCTCCCTGGTGGCCCAACAAGTTAAAGCACAGCACTCTGAAGCTATCAGAAGCTACTGCACCATGAGTTCAATTCCAGACCAGGGAGGTGATCCACAGAGCATGGCAGACCCTTCCTGACCCACCACTGCTCCTTTAGCAGTGTATTTCAGTACATCTCATTGTTTATTCCCCATTATCTCTGGTAAATCCTCTCACCCCTCACACCTCTGGCCTGTACCCCAGTGCTTGTATGCAATACATAATAAATAAATCTTAAAAAAAAAAAAAAAGTGAAAGGTATCACTAGTGCAAAAAGAAGTTATTGGTATACAGACTTGTTACTTTTCAAGTAATTGCCATTATCATTTTGGACAGATTTAATCAACATATTCATTTTCCAAGGAAAATGGAATTTTAAACTTAAAGAAGATTATTCAAGAAATATTTATCCAAAATTTTAAAAAATGTTACAGAAAGTGACGCCTTAAACACAGCAGTTTTCATCACATCATTAAATAGAATATTAAACATTTATTTATAAATTTTTATTTATTTAAAAGGATTTATTTATTTATACATACAGAATTGGGCACAGGCCAGAAGTTGGATGGGGAGGGGGGGTGAAAGGATTCACCAGAGAGAGAGTAGGGAGCAGAACAAGCAGATCTACTGAAATACACTACTGTGGGGTGCAGCAGGTGAGACAGCAGAGTCTGCTGTGCCATGTGGGTCAGCTCCCTGGCTGAGACTTGAATGGTGGCGGAGAGCTTCACGGTAGCACTTGTGCTACCACTGAGAGCTCCTATTTTAAAATTTTAAAAAAATATTTAATTTGAAATGCATTGGACTATGGTGATGGCACACAGTGATTTGGGGATGGAAAGCCCACGGGATTACGACTGAGATGAAAAAATGCACAAAGTGATGTAAAAATAAACTATTATATATATAAAAAAATTATTTTGAGCTTCTCTAGTTGTACAGGAGTTAAAGCCTCAGGGTTATCAAGCTCTTGTTTAATTAAAAAAAAAAAAAAGAAAGATTTACTGGAAGTTAGCCACAGCTACTTCAGTGTGAGTTCAGTCCCTGGCCCCAGAGGTGACCCACATGGCACAGCAGACCTCTTCTGACCCGCCCACTGCTCCTCTCAGCAGTGTACTTCTTTGATCTGCCTATTCTGCTCCAGGCTCTGTCTGGTGAATCCTCTTGCCACCTCTGCACCTCTGGCCTGTCCCTCAGTTCTGTATGCAAAAGTAAATAAATCTTAATAATAATAATAAAAAAAACAAAGTAGGGAAGGTTTTAGCTTAAAAGACAGAGCTAGAACTAGAAATATTTGGACTAGAACCAGAAATATACTTATTTTAGTGGAATTCTCTATATAAAGTTTCATAACACCATAAAGGCATCTTGCTTTCTTAACTACCTAATTCTAAGGAATAGCTCGGGCATGGTTCAGCTAAACATAAAAAGGGAATTATTCTTTTTAATGAAATGAGATTTATCATATAGACATCGACTTAATGACCCCTATCTTTAATTTTTTTCCTGTGTTTTTTTTGTAATAGTTTATTTTTACAAGTTTTTGTGTATTTTTCCACCTCAGTTGCAATCCCCTTGAGTTTCCCATCACCAAATCACCCATGTGCCATCACCATAGTCCAGTGCATTTCCCTATCTTTAATTCTTAAAATCTTTAGCTAAGGTAAGTGAAAAATGGAAAGGTGGAATACTTTGTACATGTGACAGTAGGTTCTAATATTGTTCATTTATTCATTTTTAAAGATTTATTTACTTATACATACAGAACTAGGGTACAGATCAGAGGTGCAGGGAGTAAAAGGATTCACCAAAGGCAAAGTGGGGAGCAGAACAGGCAGATTGACTGAAATACACTGCTGAGGGGAGCAGTGGGCAGGTCAGGAGAGGTCTGCCACGCCATGTGGGTCAGCTCCTTGGCTGGGGATCAAACTCGTGCTGCAGTGGCTGTGATTGTGCTTTAACCCACTGCACCACCACGGAGGGCCCAGCACTACTTAACTTAACCACAAACCTAAGTGTTGAGTTAAGTGTTATCTTCTATTTGACAGAAAGGAAAAATGAGGCTAGGAGAGATAGAGGACTATGCCCAAGGTATTGCAAATAGTGTGGGATAATAGAAACGCAAATCCAAGTCTATCTGGCTCCAGTCTACATTCATTCCAGTAGTACCTCATACTGCCCTCTAGTTGACAGATTGCTCAAATTGGTTTATTTTCTTTGTAGTTATTAAGAAGTTAAAAAACAAATTTGAAAAATACTGCCATCAGAACCTCAGGAACAATAAGTTTAATAAATAAGAAATTTAAGACAGGATCATAAAACCAAATAGGTACTAAAATGCTAACATAACTAAAGCAGTAGTAATTAATTAAAACATTTTAATCTCATCATAAATTTCTTTTGCTGAAGTGATTGTTGTATTTAAGAATGAGATCATTTATTTTTACCGGGGCCTGTGTAGAAGCAGAAGCTGCAGCTACTGCTGCTTGTTCCTGTTCTTGATAATATTGAGAAGCCCGTCTATCTTCTTCTTCTTGGAGTTTCTTTGCCAGTTCCAAATCACTGATTCCTTCAGGGATTTGTTCCCAATTTATTTCTTGACTCTGTTGTTCTTGTTGTAGAGATAATGCCATGAGATAATCCTAAGAAATTAAATTATAACCAGTTTTAGCTATGAGATTTACGCAAGAACTATAAATGTAAGTATAGAGATTATACTTATAAAGCTTTGAAAAAAATTTTTTTAAGATTTATTTATTTATGGGCCCTCCCTGGCGGCGCAGAGGGTTAAAGCACAGCACTAAGAAGCTTAAGTCACTTCCGCATGAGTTCGATTCCCGCCTGCCCTGGAGGTGACCACATGGCGTGGCAGACCTCTC